GAGAGAGAGAGAGAGAGAGAGAGAGAGACTCAGGCCGTGTCCAACTGTAAAGGGCCCAGGCCCTCAACTGTAGCACTGGGCCTGGGCGCAGGTACTGCGGCCCAACCGGAAGCTACTGGAAGCTTCCATCCAGGCCACACACAGCCAAGCAGAGGCTGCCACTTCCATATAGGAAGGAGGGCAGCCAGGGTCTGGCATTCTGGCCCACGCAGGCAATGCGGTCACGCTGCTGCGCTGCTGGGTTAGAGGCTGCGTGCTGCACTGAGGCCAGAGCGCGTGTGGGCGCGTGTGTGGTGAAGAGAGGGGCACTGCTGGGCAGCGGAGCGCAAGGAGCCATAGCCGGGCTGCAGGGCGCTAGGGGGTAAGAGGGTGATCGGTGGTCTTCAGGAAGGAGGCGAGTGTGGGTGGACAGGGTCTGATGAGGGGAGATGAGATACGTACCTGGTATATGAGAGAGGTCGGCTATAGTGTTGGTGTCATGTTCATTGGTCTTCGAGAGTCGAAGTGAGTGTGTTGCACGAATGCTGATGTAGGTAGGATAGTCGAGTAGTGTAGGCTGGGCGCTGGCCGCCAGACAGAAAGGAGCGACTTTGGATACTGTGTTGGTGTGGCCTGAGGGCTTGAACATTGGCTCATTACTTCATTGTATTGCTCTTATTTGGATGGGATCTCGGTGCATTTCTGCTCTCTGCTTGTGCACGACTACTTGGACATCTGTGTGACTTCGCAACTTGGTTTTCTGTATATCATTCCCACTCATATTCCTTGCAATTTCGTATCGGAGCTGGTTCGAGACCGCCACTTACCTGACGCTGGCGACATTGTTACTTGGTGCACTGACGATGGTTCTATGCAGTGAGGATACTTTGGCGCTGGCTTGATAGAGAGGGGGAGGCCGTTGGAAGGCTGTGGCCACAGCGTGGGAGCTGTGGCAATAGCGGATGTATGTATGATGATGAGAGCATGCTGATGTGGCATTTTGGCTGAGGTGGCACTGCATTGCGTTGTGGGTGGTACCAAAGCTATGACGGGTCAGGTACGTTGTTACCTTACCTTATCTACCCTCTCAGTCTCTTCTTACCGTGAGGAAGTGAGTCCAACCTTGAGTGCCCTCTCTTTTGTGTGAGGAGTCGTGAGCGCTCTACCTTGAGAGACGACATTCTTCCCGGTGGTGCATCTGGCAGGAGAGGGCAGTGCCTCTGAAGGGCCCTGGTCGAAGCACGGGTCATGGTCACCATGCCAACCCATGGGAGTAGTACACGCAGGCCATGCTGCTTTGTCCTTTGAAGGCTCTTTGCTGCACTGATAGAAGGGGTGTGCAGACTGACCAGTCCTATGCAGACGCTATCCAGACCGTCTATAAATATTTCTGGCAGGGGTCTGAACTGTCCATTGGCTGTGATCGTCATCCTGATTGCGACGTTAAATGATTCCTGAGGACCTTGGGGGTTGTCCTTAAACTACCTCTTGATCAGCCAAATCAATCAGACGTAAGGCTCGTTGCACGCGAGGGTAAATAAAGGGCAGCTTTGGTCATAAGCATACGCCTTGGGCGCAGGGGTGGGCCGCTAATGCGCACCTTAGACACTGCCGCTTGATGATGTCTACAGGCACGTTAGATACAGGGGAGGAAGATTCCAATTGAGACTCAACTGTTAGACACAACTATACCCATTGTGCAAACATCTGCTTACATAGTCTATTTTTATGTTGATTAGTTGGTTGACAGACTGCTGACACCTCACAGATGGCCTAGACTAGAACTGTAGTGTTCTACCATAGCCAGTTCTCTTCGAAGCTGTTGTAAGAGAACTAATCAAAGTAAATTTAGATTATGTGTACAGTCTGTGTGAATGCTGTTGATAGCGCTTGAACGATAGTCTACGTAACTCAACGGATATTTATTTTAATTTTATTTATTTTTAGAACCGGTCAGACGGAAATCAAACACATGCCAGGATTCCAATCGATCAGGAATCACTGGAGAAGATTGTCAACGTTATTAACAATGAAGCTCTCAAATTCCTAATCGAAAAGACGAAAGTCCAAGGAATCGAATCCACTGAAAAACAGATAGTGGAAGGAAAAGAAGAAGAAGTGGTTATATGGAAATACCCGGAAGAGAAGATCGCCGAGCTGGATGAGCTGCATGAAAATCACGGTGTGGTTTTTAACTTTGCACGCCACGGGGCAGATCTCCAACCAGCTAAAAAAAGAAAGTGCGTAATCGAAACGATTCGAAAGGAACCAAGATGCAAACAGATTGGTGACACTTTCTCGCTGCAAAACCTGGGCCGGAACAATATTATGGTACTATTCATCCACGAGGACCACGCGAGGATTGCAACAGAAATGCAATCCAGAAACTGCCATGGCTCAGTTTGCACAATCACAAGGTGGAAAAAACTCTCAGCCCAGAGACAGACCCCAGGATTCGCAGTCTCCTACAAACAAACTTTAATGAAGGAGAACTTCTGGGTTCAATTCGACAACATACAGCTAGGCTTCCACGGATTACTGGTGGACAGGCTCGAAAGACAATACACAGCGAACAAAGTCCTGAAATGGATTCTACCAACGCCAGACTTTCTGGCGCCTCACTGTGGCACTTTGACAACAATTTTGGACGTACAGACGGACGATCCCCCTGTTTTCCCGCAGATCTGGAAATTCCAGATTGAAAACAGAGTGATTGAAGTAAGGATTTCTCAAGAGCCTCACCGATCTGCTTTCGATGCAGAGAACGAGGCCACTTGGGCACTGACTCGAGTTGTCCCAAGTTCCCGAAGCAAGCTAAAGAAAGAAAGCTTCTACCGAATATGCTGGTAGAAGTGGAAGATGCAACTGGTATTTGGTACGTGGCTGATTCGTGTTATGATGGATGGGTCTTCGGCAACAACCTTGATGAACCTGACTGGGTCTGGCACTTTGCAGACCAATTGCCTCCCACCAAAAAAACGGACATTTCCCCCCCGGCAGATAGCAGATGGCAAAAGAAAGCAACGGGGAAAGTTAAAGGCAACCCGACGAAGATCAACACCAGCCCCATTACAGATTCACGGGTGATTAGGGAGGAAAAAGCAAGGGAAGATTTGTTGTGGGATCTTGACACAATAAGGGACCAGATCGAACAAAAGGACACTAAGGAACCAGGCTCGTTCAGAGAAATACTGAAACAAGTCGTACAACAAACATACAAGAGAAGGAACAAATCACAAGCCGACAACAAACGCCA